AATAATTTTAAAGAGCCAGCAGAATTCTCTACCCTCCAAATTAATGCACCTTCCTAACAGCAATTTTGAATCTCAAAAGGTAGCAGTCAGCTTTAGAGATTCAGCAAGTTTCACATGGAGAGTTTTGCGCTTATCATTAAGCCCGGGCACAACAAATGAACTATCATTAACTATCGTAAAGGCTTAATGTAATTGCAAGTTGATGATCTCTGTAAACAGAAAAAACGTTCTTGCTACACTTTAAAAGGTAAAAACATTGGGAATCTGAATTATGTTTACTAACATGAGGATGGCAAGAACAAATTTCTTTCAACAGAATAATTATGCTTATTCAGTCACTGTAAGCAGAAATATCAGAATCCATTGATTGCTAGTAGTAATTGCCAAAAAGGTATAGGAAGAGCTTCTAGACATGACAGTCCTCTTTGTTGTAGTGACACTACAGAGCAGGGGTTTCATGCTTAGCACAGGTCCTGGGTTGTCCTTGAACCAAGGAGATGCTGACACTTGGCCTGCCCATGCCCCCCTCCTCCATGTCAGATGTCAGGTGCCCACCCAGTAGGAGAGGCTATTTCTGTTTCTAGGCCCATTTCCAGAACCAGGGGTGTGTTTTCGAAGTCCAGACAAGAGTTGTCCTGTTAATTGACAGCTGCAGAGCAGACGGAGAGCCCACGCTGGGTACAGATTACCCACCTAAGAACTGGCTGGGGCCTTGCTCCCAGGCTGACTGTGAGCTAACAGGCCACCTTGCTCTGGCCTCAGAAGCAGGTTCTCCTGCTGAGATTGTGCACCTGCCCAATGCTGACAGCTGGGCTATGGAGGAGCCCAAACTTAGCGTTCAGGCTTCAGGCAAGGAAGCTCCTCCTGTAGAGCTAGCTGTGGTAGCCAGCTGTCTTGAAACAATACTTTGTTTACAGACTTGCATCTTGTTTCAGCTAAAATTTCAGGTTCTGATGAAAATTCCACCCTTATTTCTTTAAATAATTCTTTAAAAATCTGAGCACCATTGTTGAGTGCATACTACCAAGACTTTACTTGTTTTCTGTAACCCTAGTGACAGTAATCTGTTTATGATTCCATCAGGTCCTTAACAAAGTAAAAAAGCAGCTGTTTAATATATAACACAGGATGAAAACAGCAACACCACAGTAGCAACCCTGAAAATAAGCATTAAAAATTTTCACCTACATTTTAAGTAGATTTTAAAAACTTCCAGGAGAATGAACACATACAAGAAGAAAGAACCCTTTTGTGAATATAGAAAAAATTAAAAAGAGAAGGAAAAGCTGGGGAATCTGCTGACTACTCTTGACTTTCATTTTCTTTTGTGTCACTCTTTAGAAAATTCAAGAAAAGCTTACACATCAGACTAACACACTAGTGTGTGAAAAACCAATCCTGCTTGAGTTGACTATGAAACAGTAAACATAAAACGGAGTTGTAAATGGAATACGTTGGGGGCCATATATGAGATGGCTTTAAAGATAAAATTATAACAATTTAAGGCCAGGTGTGGTGGTTCATGCCTGTAATCACAGCACTTTGGGAGGCTGAGGCGGGCGGATCACCTGAGGTCAGGAGTTTGAGACCAGCCTGGCTAGCATGGCGAAATCCCATCTCTACTAAAAATACAAACATTAGGTGGGCGTGGTGGTGCATGCCTGTAATCCCAGCTGCTGGGGAGGCTGAGGCAGGAGAACTGTTTGAATCTGGGAGGTGGAGGTTGCAATGAGCCAAGATGTGTCACTGCACTCCAGCCTGGGTGACAGAGCAAGACTCCATCTCAAAAAAAAAAAGATTAATTAAAAAAAACTAAAACAATTTTTTTGTCACTTAAAAGCCCTTATGGATCATCTTAATCAGTGTTCGGACTACCATAAATGCTGTAAACAGTGAGATAATTGTCAAAGTCCCATGGGCCAAATATTCCAAACAGAATCATGATGCTCAAACTCCCTGAAGTCTCATTTAATAATTATAGTACCAAGAATTCAAGATACCTTTTCATAGCGAATTCATTCATTACAAATCATTATCCAGAAACATTTTGCCTACTGGGTGGCCAACAATGTTTTCTTTATCCAGAAAAATAAACATTCTACATGAAAAAAAACAAGCATAGGAAATGCATGTATACATGCCCATATCTTTGATGGTCAAAGCTACTTTAGCAAAAACCACCTAACCTGGACACCAATGCCAAAAGATCAATAATCTGGGAATGTCAAAATCTTCTGGGCCACCAACCTGACAGCTAAAATACAAGCTTTATTTAACTCATTATACTCCATGCTGGTTTCCTCTATTCTGACAGCCACCCTGTCCACTGTCTTCCCAGACTATCTCCATCTACTTTATTCATGGGTAAAGAAAACACCAGTGCTACACCAGGCAAAGAAAATCCTAGTTTCTCCCAAGCTGTTAGGCATATTCATCCTCCTGTGGAAAACACAATGTAGTCAGCCCACTGTCTCTCTCAAATGTTCCCATAGTTTCAGTCTACACTGAACTTGTTCCTCAGAACAGCCAGAAAATATCCATACCGCTCAACTTAGACACACAGTCATATACCACTTTGCATTGTTGGCTTTTTCACATATGCTTGTCTCATGGTCCTAAAGACTCAAAAAGCTACTTAAAGGTAAAGACCAGGTCTTAACGTTTCCTTAGCACTGTGCACCTGATCCATAGCCCACCTAATTCTTGTATTCTCAACTAATATTCAGAGTCAGGAAAAGTTAAAATATGAAAGGAACTTTATTTTGTTGTTGCTGTTTTTGCTCCCTGCCATCTAGGCTGCAGTGTAGTGGCACAAACTCTGCTCACTGCAACCTCAACCTCCCGGATTCAAGCATTTCTCCTGCCTCAGTCTCCCCAGTAGCTGGGATTACAGGCGTACACCACCACGCCCGGCTATTTTTTGTATTTTTAGTAGAGACAGGGTTTCGCCATGTTGGCCAGGCTGGTCTTCTGACCTCAGGTGATGCACCGGCCTCGGCCTCCCAAAGTGCTGGGATTACAGGTGTGAGCCTGAAGGACCTTTAGAGATAACCTAGTCTAAGCTCCACATTTGAAATGAACGAGGTGAGAGTCATTAACCTTTTACAGGGAATCAATCAGGCAGATCTGGGTTCAAATGCAGGACTGTTTTCTGTGAAATAGAGATGACATCTACCTCAGAAAACAGTTGTAATGATCAAATTATACTTTCCTTTTTGTTTGTTTTTCTTGTTAAGACATAATCTTTTTGGCTGATTTTTTTTCCTGGTTAATAGTTCAATTGAATTCTAAGCCCAAGATGCAGGGCTTTTCTCCGACTGTATTTTCTGACCTTATGGTTGGTGTCTAATACAGTGCCTCGCGTCTTTTGAGTTAGTCATGAATGAACCATGTGAAAGAATGAATTAAACCTATATTATCACTTTCTCGTTCAGCAAATGTCTTATTCTTTAGTTCCTCCAAGAATCTGTCTTTCCTAAGTTGGGCCTTCTCAAAACAAATATATTTATCTCCCTACCCCTTCCTCCCTTCCTTCTCTCTCTCTCTGTCACACACACACACACACACACACACCCCTTTCCCTTTAGAACAGCTGGAGAAAAAAAAACACTGCCTCCCTCATATTTTTGGAATAAAGTTAGCATTTTTACTAGGATATTCAGAAAAACTGATAGATGGACAGGATTTGGAGGTATTACACATCTCTGGGGAGCTTTCTTATGATTTGTGGCATCGAGTCCTTCAATAAAATTACTTGTCTATAATAAATTCTGGCAGAAAATAAATCAGAAATTCACTGGTGAGTTGTCAGTGAAGTTAAATACTTCACTCTGTTCTATACAAGCAAACAGTGACTAATAGGATTAACCTGAGCTCTAATACTGGGTGTAGATATTCTTCAACGACAAACGGGTTCCATTAGTACAGGCATTAAATTTATATATTTAAGGGGGCATAAATTTTGCTTTTGCAAACACATTTTACTAGAAAAATATTTGGTCCAGGTGTCAGGACAAAAGTGTGATTTCTTTCCTTTGCAGGGGGCAGCAACAAAACCACCAATGGGAAGAATAAGATCCCAGACCTCTGAAGAGGACACAGGTTTCCACTAAAGCAAGGTTGATACTTTCAAGGAATATTTTTCGTAACAGCTAAAACGGTTTAACACATAGCATCTTGTATCAATTACACAAACACCATTAAAGCCACTCTGGTTCCCTGGGAAAGGACTGCAACTGAAATCCCTTCTGGCTTCAGCTGTCCCCTCCTGCCGAGTTTGACAGCACATCCAAGGCGCCCAAACACCAGCCACTAGGCTCCCCCCAGCGCCCTCCTCTCGCAGCAAACCGCCAAGGCTCCCGGGCCAAACTCCAAAGTCCCTCAATTCAAAACCGCGAAAATGTGAACCCTGCTAAGCAAACGGCAGGGCGCGTAATAACTTTTCTTTCTTTCCCTTTTGCGCGCATTCGATATGCTTGTCTCTACTACCAACTCCTCAGGTCCACAGCCCGCTTCCCGCAACCCATCTCGAGGGGCGGAGGAGAGGGAGCGCCCATCAAAAAGAAAGGGCTAGTGAGCCCTAAAACCTCGGCGGTTTTCCCGGTGCGGGAACTTTAGCACACATCAGCACAATAATCAGATGCAGGGATAAAGCAGGAAGAAGGCTCCTCTCTCCATCGCACCCCATCCTTCCTAAGGAAGAAGAAAAGCACGCAGCAGTTTAGCTGGAAGTCTAGGCCCTTTTATGGGGAGAGCAGGTCCGCAAAGCAGGCTGTCTAGAACCTGGAGGAAGAAAGTTGTCTAGCCAAGTGGATGACTGGGGGTGAGGGAGTGCAAGGCACCCGGGTCCCGAGACCGCCAGGGGTAGGGGCCAAGGGGAAAGAGACCGGCATTTGTTTAAGAACCAACCCCGCGCTCGGCCAGCTGCAGCCGCCGGCGAGCCGACTGGGAAGGGGTGTGGACGCCGAGGCCCGCGGAGTGGTGCCCACAGCTGTACTTACATAACGCTTCAACTTTTTCTCCGGGGGGGACTTGCGGAGCCATCCGGAGCAGACCACTTCACCACCGCTCATGGTGCGCGCGTCTAGGGCTCCGGGCCGGGCAGCTGAGGGGCGGCGGGCGCGCTCCCGACACAGCCGACGCCTGTCGAGCGCGCAGCGGCAAGAACCTAGCTCTCCTTGTCGCGCACCCCGGACGGACTGGGCGGACAGGCTCCACGGTGCGTGGGTTCCACGAGTTCGAGTCTCTCCTCTGCAGGCCCACGAACCTGAACAGAAAGCGAGCCGGGGTAGCGGGCTCGCCGGCCTCCTTTCAGTGCTCCCGCCTCGCCTCCAGACGTGCCGTCTCGCCAGCTGCCTCAGCAGCGCTCGGACTCAGCGGGACTCTGCCCCGACTCGGAGCCGGAGCCTCGGTCCCTGGCGCTCCGCCCCCTAGGGACAAGACCTCCCCAGAGCGCTTTCCGAAACAGACACAGTGCTGTTCACACACACACACACACACACACACACACACACACACACACCCCCGCGCGGTGCCCACTCCCGCTCGCCCGCCCGCCCTCGGTTTCGGTGCGCCCGGAGCGATCCTCCTTCCCTCTCCTTGGGGGAGGGTGGGTCACTTCGCGGCACTCGGGGAACGCCGAGGAAAGGGGAAGCCGCGAGCCGCCTACGGGCTGCGGGCGCGGGGCTGGTCCCGGGTCACAGAGGGAGCCGCAGGGTTGGCGGCGAAGCGCGGGGCGTCTCTGAGCGGCGGGCGCAGGGAGGTCGCAGGTCAAGCTGGAGGGTGGGTCCGCTCTAGCTGCCGCCGAAGAGGGCGGGGAGCGGCGGAGGAACGAGGCGCTTGGCGACTTGGCTCCTGGGAGGGATCCCGCTGTCCCGTCCTCTGGCGCTCCTCCCCCGCCGCCTCCCCCACCCCGGGGCGCGCGGCAGGTTCTGAGCGGCTCGGCCCCAGATCCCGATCCCTCCCTCTCCCGGCCTCCGGGATCCCTCTTCCTCCCTTTCCTCCTCCCCTTCCCACGTTCAGGCCCGGCTCTGGTTTCTGCCCAGACTTTCTCTGAAACTCCGCCGGAGCGCTTCCAGCCAAAACAACAAGGGCTGGGGGAGGAGACGGACGAAGGGAGGGAGCAATGGAGGGAGGGAGCGCGAGTCCGAGAGGCACCCTGGGATCTGTAGTTCGGAAAGCAGGAGCAGGGTCCTCCGCCGTCCGGCGGCCCCCAGTCCGCTCCTCGCCCGGGAAGACCGCAGAGGCCTCGGCTAGGGCGGAGGCGCCGGGGCTCGGGCGCGGGGAGGACCGAGGGACGTTCGAATGTTCAGTCCGGGGCTTGCCATCTTGACTCAGCCCGGTGTCGGTTCGGAGCTTGTGCTGTGCCCCAGATCAAGAGTTTCGGGGGTTTTCTTTACTTGAGAGCCTGAAAAACAAAACCGCCGGGAGACCACCATCCTGCTGGTCCCCGCCACGCGAGATTAAAGGACAGAACAAGAGGGCGCGGGAGCTACCAGCTTGGAGGGGAGGACAGATGGGAACCCTGGGCTGGCCTGGGCTGGTCTCTGGAGCTCTTCTGCCAGAGTGATGGGGACGCTTGGCGAGGCCAAGGATTTGATTGGGTCCTATCTCTGGGACATTTTGAAGTCTCACACTCCTTCCATTTGTTGTCTATTGCACTTAACTTTGTATTTGTTTGAAATCTACTGTTGGGATGCTGGACTAAAAGAGGGAAACTCGGTCGGGCGCGGTGGCTCACGCTGTAATCCCAGCACTTTGGGAGGCCGAGGCGGGCGGATCAACTGAGGTCGGGAGTTCAAGACCAGCCTGACCAACATGGAGAAACCCTGTCTCTACTGAAAATACAAAAATTAGCCTGGCGTGGTGGCGCGCGCCCATAATCCCAGCTACTCGGGATGCTGAGGCAGGAAAATCGCTTGTACCCAGGAGGCGGAAATTGCGGTGAGCCGGGATCGCGCCACTGCGCTCCAGTCTGGGTAACAAGAGCAAAACTCCGTTTAAAAATAGAGAAAGAGAGAGAGAGAGAGAAAGAAATTTACTGGGTCCCCTAGTTCTATTTGCCTACTTGTGTGTTACACAATTATTATACCTGGTCCTGAGTTTAACATGATTCTGTAATAAAAACATCTCCAATTTATTTGTGAAAAAGCCCCAAAGCAAATTTCAGCAGATAATATAATCAGATAAAAGTGCTAAAAATATGAGGAGATAAATGAGCATTTCTGGAAAGACATAACTTCAGTCATTTTCTTATTAACACAACATTCATATTCTGAAGCTCTTCTGAGTTTGAAAATGTTAGATGATTGTAATAAGAAATTAGGTGCTGGAGTAGTGACAAGACAAAGGTCCCTGCATATATGGAGGTGGTGGCATAGGGTAGTAAGCAAATAAAGCGTCAACAAAACTACAGATTGAGACTCAGTCTCAAAAAAAAAAAAAAAATCGGAGAAAGGCTGATTCCCATTGGGGTTTAGAGACCTTCATCTTTTGTCACGTACTTAACAGTATCACAAGGGCTGAACTTTTCAGGTCATCAAGTGAGTAGATGGATGCACTTTTCAGGTCATCAAGTGAGTAGTCGTGACCTTGGGTAAACTACACAATATCTCTGAGTCTCAGTTTCCTGATATGTGAAATGGGAATTGTAACACCGATTTTGCAGAAGTTTAATGAATAGAAATGGTAGTGTTGGCCGGCGGTGGCTCACGCCTGTAATCCTAACACTTTGGGAAGCCTGGGTGGGTGGATTGCCTGAGCTCAGGAGTTTGAGACCAGCCTGGGCAACTCGGTGAAAACCTGTCTCTACTAAAATACAAAAAATTAGCCGTGGCGGCGTGCGCCTGTAGTCCCAGCTACTCGGGGGCTGAAGCAGCAGAATCACTTGACCAGGGAGGCAGAGGTTGCAGTGAGCCGAGATCGCGCCACTGCACTTCAGCTTGGGCGACAGGGTGAGACTCCGTCTCTAAAAAAAGAAAAAAAGAAAGAAAGAAAGAAATGGTAGTGTTGGTCGGTTGGTCCGGCGCGATGGTTCGCGCTTGTATTCCCAGCACTTTGGGAGGTCTAGGTGAGCAGGTCACTAGAGTTCAGGAGTTCGAGACCCATCTTGGCCAACGTGGTGAAACCCAGTTTCTACTAAAAACACAAAAATTAGCCGGATGTGATGGCACGTGCCTGTAGTCCCAGCTACTTGGGAGGCTGAGGCAGGAAAATGGCTTGAACCCAGGACAGGGAGGTTGCAGAGAGCCGACATAAGGCCACGCACTTCAACTTGGGTAACAGAGAGAGACTCTGTCTCTAAAAAACAAACAAACAAAAAAAGGAAAATGGCAGTGTTGTTTGGGCGTGATGGCTTGCACTTGTAATCCCAGCACTTTAGGAGGTCTAGGTGAGCAGGTCACCTGAGGCCAGGAGGTCGAGACCATCCTGGCCAATGTGGTGAAAACCCAGTCTCTACTAAAAACACAAAAATTAGCCGAGTGTGGTGGGTGCGTGCCTGTAGTCCCAGCTACTCAGAAGGCTGAGATACAAGAATCACCTGAACCCGGGACAGGGAGGTTGCAGAGAGCCGACACAGGGCCACTGCACTCCAGCCTGGGTGACTGAGTAAGAGTCTGTCTCGAAAAAAAGAAAAAAAAAAAGAAAGAAAGAAAAAAGAAGTGGTAGTTTTAAATATCAGGCACATATTAGATATTGTAGGATTTTTGCTGTTTGTTGCTGTGTTTCTTAATGTTCTTTCTGAAACATAAGCAAGTGTAATTTTTATGGCAGCTAATAAACCAAAGCACTTCTTTTTAGGTATGTGAACATAAATCATGCCACAAATTTTCCAAATGAAAATAAACCATCAAATTTGTTTTCCACTTCTCCCATAGGCAGTGTGTATCTACATTGAGCCAAAAGTATTTATAATTAGCATTAGTAAGACTAGTATTGTTGAATAGTTAACTATTGGCTTTAGCGAACTGACCACTTCCTACACTCGTGTTATAAAGTCCTTTGTAAATGGAAAATTGTAATATATCTTGTATTATTTAGCTTTGGGAATTTCCAATAACTTTTTCTTTATTTCAAATAAGGCATTCAGTTACCTCATTCCTATGTAAGAAATCTTTAAGTGTTTTTCCTATCTTCTACTGAGTTGTTTTAGGCTTGTATTTCTGGAAATTAAATCCAGGTTGAAGAGACGTTGAAGATAGATATGTCTCTATGTATATATTTTAGAAATGAAATCATCATAACTAGTCTCCAACACATCTTCATTAATCAAAATAGGAATCATAACGACACATTTTTGTCAACAAAAAATAAGTTTGTTTATTCCTGTAGCATAAAAATTCGTGCTTCAGGATTTGACAAACTCTTGGAAAGCATTTTCTGTCTCCTGCTGGTGTGGAAGCATTTTACCTGCAAGAAGTTGTCGAGATACTTGAAGAAGCTCGCCAGTAGTCAGTTGGCGAGAGGTCAGGTAAATATGGTGGATAAGGCAAAACTTCATAGCCCAATTCGTTCGACTTTTGAAGCGTTGGCTGTTTGATGTAGGGTCAGGCATTGTTGTGGAGGAGAATTGGGTCCTTTCTGTTGAGCAATGCCGGATGCAGTCATTGCAGTTTTCGGTTCATCTCATCCATTTGCTGAGCATACTTCTCAGACGTAATTGTTTTGCCGGGATTCAGAAAGCTGGAGTGGACTGGCAGCAGACCACCAAACAGTATCCATGGCATTTTTTTGGTGCACGTGTGGCTTTGGGAAGTGCTTTGGAGCTTCTTCTCCGTCCAGCCACTGAGCTGGTTGTCAAACGGTTGTCGTATACAATCCACTTTTCGTCGCACATCACAATCCAATTGAGAAATGCTTCACTGTTGCATAGAATAAGAGAGGATGACACTTCAAAATGATGATATTTTTTCATTTTCAGTCAGCTTATGAGGCAACCACTTATTGAGCTTTTTCACCTTTTCAATTTGCTTCAAATGCTGAACGACCACAGACGGCTCAATGTTGAGCTCTTCGGCAACTTCTTATGTAGTTGTAAGAGGATCAGCTTCGATGATTGCTCTCAATTGGTCATTGTCTACTTCCGATGGCCAGCCACTACACTCTCCACCTTCAAGGCTCTCATCTCCTTTGCAAAACTTCTTGAACCCCCACTGCACTGTACCTTCGTTAGCAGCTCCTGGGCCAAATACTTTGATGCTGCAAGTTGTCTCCACTGCTTTATGACCCATTTTGAACTCAAATAAGAAAATCACTTAAATTTGCTTTTTGTCTGACATCATTTCCATAGTCTAAAAAAACATAAAATAAATAGCAAGTAATAAGTAATTAGCAAATAAATAAATAAATAAATAAAGAGAGAAGTGCCCATTAAAATGATGTATAACATAGCCACATTTATTTAAGAATGTATTTCAGTATCAAATGGCAAATTCCAACAGTGCAAAAACTGCAATTACTTTTGCACTCACCTAATAATTATCTCTCAAAGGTCCCACCTA